TGAATGCCCTTTGATCTATCAATTTAATATTTATGAGTACCTATTCATTTATTCTGGGAGATTTAATTATGTTTTGGATAAATCTTGTAGTTACCTCGTGATGTTTCTGAAAAATGGGTGTTATTTATAATTATGGCTTAATTGGCTCCTCTGTTTATGGCTAATTACATAGTTATTGACAGACATCTTTCTGTTAGCACTCTCTCTAAACCTTGGCGAATTTTAATTACAGACCTCATCCAAATGAATGCTCAGGCAGCGACTTGGATGGTGACATTTACTTTGTCTGTTGGGACTCTGATCTCATTCCTCCCCGGCAAGTCCAACCTATGGATTATACCCCAGCACCACCTATGGTGTTGGATCATGAAGTTACAATTGAGGTATTATTCACATGGTTAGATGTTGTAGTAGTTTGGGAACTCCTCCTGTTGTTCCTATAATGAATTATCCTTCCATTGCGTTAACATTTCTTATATCCACCTATGCATGTTTCTCATTTGATCTGTCTTTTTCTATTACCATTGACCGGTCCCCGACAAATTGAGGCTGCTAGAGGGGGTGGACTGCGTAGATCTTACCTCTTGTGTTTTTTGCTCAAAATGGCTGCCCTTGTTTTGAATCCACGGCATTGGAATTATTAATTGGAGCATCATCTTACCATTGCACTAGGCACTGATTTATTCGATGCTGTTAGCATTATTTTCTTAAAACTCACATATTTACAGTTTTGTGGTCTTCTAATTGTTTTTCGTCATGAAGCACAGTTCCACAATGGCTCTTGACAAATGATTTGTTCTCTCCTATCCAGCCTGCCTTCTATTACTGTTAATTCCTTTTAAGAAGAAATTATTAGTGCCATACTTATCTGCCTTTCATTATATCAAAGAGATTTGTTCTCCAATAGCCAAATATGTTGTGAATACTTATATTTACTAGTGCATGCTTGTGAACAATATAAAAGCATTCTTGTATGTTATTGTGCGTACGTGCATGTTAATGTGTTTCGAGTTCTTTTCTCTGACAAAACTTTCTTGGAAACTTTTGAAAGTTTGTTAACTTTGATCAATCATAGAAAATTAAGAGAAAGAAGAAGAGAATATTATTGAGACACAATCAGCCAGAACAACCTTAAAAAAAAACTACTTATAAGAGGTTTTTATGTAGTAAACTAAGCTAGGGCAACATAAAAGAAAACAAATGACTAAACTACCCCTAAATTTAAATATAATAACTATTCTAACACCCTCCCTCAAACTCATGATGTGATAACATCAAACATCAAGAGTTTGCTAAGAAAAAACAGAAGCAAGTGACAGAATGTGATTTTGTGAAGAAATCTGCTAGCTGCATACAGTCCTCCCTTTCTACAGTGTGTCCCAATCAGCTTGTTGGATTGTGGATCCTGAAAGACCTGAGGTAAATGAACCTACTGAAGGAAATACTGCGAGTGCACCAAGCTGATGGAGAGAGATTAACTTTTACAACTGGTCAACAAGCATGGTTAGGCTGGGTGCCTGTGAGGAGGACTCATCCACTACTGATTGATTTGTTGTCCCTTTTGCATTTTTTGTTCATTAGTTTAGGGCATTGAACCTTCCAGTGGCCCTTCTCATGACAGAAGCTACACTCATCTAACGCTACACGACCTCGATATTTAGAAGTCACCGTGGGAGGCACATCCAATACAGTCTGAGTAGGCGATGGAATAAGACTTTTTCCAGAAAGAGTCATAAGACGAACTTCTTTAGCCAGAAGCTCATTCACTACTTATCCACTAAGGGAAGTGGATTACGATGAAGAATAGAACCACGAAGTCCCTCGAAGTCATTCCTAAGGGCCATCAAAAATTGCATCAACCTCTATTCCTCTCTAAAAGTGCGATATATCATATGAGTACTCAGTTCAGCCGGTTCAGCAAGTGCTAACTGATCCCAATATTCAGTCATAACTGAGTAGAACCCCTAAATGTTCTTATCACCCTGACATGCAACTCGAATTTCATGTTCTAACTGATACCTCTTTGCAAAATTAGACTGAACAAATAAGGTAGCTAAATAATCCCAAATCTCATTGGCTGTATTAAACTTAGTCAAATGAACACCAATGTTTTGATCAACTGAGTTGTTAATCCAAGTGATGATTTTAGCGTTGTTGATTTCTCAAGTATTCTTTAAGTCAACATATTTCTCGACCTTAGGATTAGTTGGAGCTGATGAATCACCACTAACATATCTCCACATTTCCTTACCCAACAAGAAATTTTTCCTAACATAAGCCTAATATACATAGTTCTCACCTTTTAATCTGACACTGATAGCTTGAAGAGAATCAGAATTTCCACTGGCCATAATACCTAAATCAAGCAATCCAAAACAAATATTAAAGTAAACAAACAAAATCTAGCAACCCAACAACCTAGCAAAATCTAACAACCCAACACCCAAATAGCAAATAAGGGCCCAACAAAAAACTAAAGCTCAACAACTTTGCAAATCAAATACTCACCCAACCGTTCGTTCATAAAATTAGCCCCAAAGGCTCAAACCCACCAATCAGTAAGAAAGGAAACAAAAGTTTCCTGCTTATTCAGTGCGAAACAATGCAAACAAACCCAGACAATGCAACGCTATGTCAAATAGCAAGCCCAAATTAATAGAAGAATAGCTAAACCAGAATTAGCCCCAAACCAGCAGTAGCCAAAATTAACAAACCCTAGTAGTTAAGATTTCTTACCTTGCAAAGACTAGTTCAATGAGGAAGACACAACAACGAGAAGCACCAACAGAAGAGAAGAGACAACCAACGTCAAACAATGTAAAGTTCGTCACAAATCAACTCAATAATTTTGTAAATCAAATACCCATAACAGTTGAATTCGACACTGTTCACAACTTGTGAACAGTAATTTCGATACTGTTCACATCACGTGAATAGTAAGTTTGGTACTATTCACAGCGCGTGAACAGTAGCTTCTGCACTGTTCACAGCCCTTAAAACCACAAAAACAAATCAGCAACCATAATCCAAGAATAAATCGCCATAGATGATGTTAGCTCTAATCCAAGAATATATTCTTTCTCCAACTAAATTACTGTGGTGCTACAATATCTTTTGGATCGAAACCATGCTCTGATACCATGTTAACTTTGATCAATCATAGAAAAGTAAGAGAAAGAAAAAGAGAATATTATTGAGACACAATCAGGCAGAACAACCTTAAAAGAAAACTACTTATAAGAGGTCTTTATATAGTAAACTAAGTTAGGACAACACAAAAGAAAACAAATGACTAAACTACCTCTAAATCTAAATATAATAATTATTCTAAGAGACTGATTGAAAATGGAACAGTTCTTTATATCCTACATTCATCTGTTTTAATACTTTGATGTCTTAAATAATCCACCACTGCTTATGAATGGAACCAGCTGAGTGCATATCCGAGTGTTAGGCTTCTGTTTGGTACCTTGTCATCTACAAAATCAACCTTCTAAAATCAATAAGACCCCTTTTTCGTAAATATCCTTTTTTACACAGTTTTTGGCAGAATTTGAGTTGTTAAACTTGTACTACATATATAGAATGAAACAGAAGAGTTAGTTGCTTCACTCTGTTGTGGAGAGAATTGAAGCATAAGGACGTGGACAAGGACGTACTTCTAAGATTTCTTAGCCATAGCACCTTCGGATTTAATCTGAGTAGATCTCAGCTTAATCCCTTATTCCCTGTCAAGATTTCACTCCAGTCAAAGGGAAAAATTAATCTTGATATCTACAGCAGCTATGCCTACCTGTTTTGTTCTTTACTATGTTTTGTTTTGGTGTAATTTGCAGACAAACCAGCCTGTTTACCACAGCATATTCTAGAAGTCAGGAAGCTTTTCTGGAATACCCCTCCTAAAAATAAAAACTACTTCAAGCAGTTTCCACCACCAATAAATGAATAGACAAATTCCCTGAGTCTACAACTACTACCACTAAACTAGCTACCCAAGATCCAAAGGAAATTTTGAAAAAAAAAAAAAGAAGCATTAGGCAGGATGGCCTATGTTTTTAGTACAATTTGAGTAAAATATCTTTGAAATTCAACTGCTTAAATACTTATTTGTATTAGTCTTTTTAGCGTCTTGTGCCATGGTGTCACTTTTAGATAAAATATCCTGGTTTCCTCTCCCAAAGACAGCAATTAACATTACTACTGCTCCCATCATCACCACTGCTGCTGCTATGAGACCATTTTGATTGCTTTCTCTTTATTCGCTATGCATTTTGTTATGTTACGGGTACGAAGCAGAACTGCATCTGAAATAAAGAATGAACATGATGTTACCCTGGCTAGGAAATCTGGAGAAATCTTCTAGCTGACTTCACAGCAATAGGTTGAGGTGAAGTAGCTGCAGCACAGCTTCCTTATGAAAATTTAAATAAATGCTAAGGCACTTGTTCATAAAGATTTGGTTAATTTTCTCTGTTTTGGACAATGGATCAGATTTTCATATATTTGCTGCAGGAAGTCCAGGAGTATTTTGCAAACTATATAGTCAATGACAGTCTGGGCATCATTGCAAATGCTCACACAGTCCTTGCTGATAGGGAACCTTCCGAGGCAATGAGTGATCCCTGTTTAGAGCTTGCAAGGCTGTTTTCAATTGCAGTCGACTTCCCAAAAACTGGAGTTCCAGCTGAGATACCACCTCATCTGCGTGTCAAAGAGTATCCAGATTTCATGGAAAAGCATGACAAAACCGCCTACATATCAGAACGTGTGATTGGAAAGCTTTTCCGAGAGATAAAAGACATTGCACCAGACACAAACTCTATTAAAACCTTCACAAGGGAAGTGGCGATACAGTCATATGATCCTGAGATGGAAGTAGATGGTTTCAAGGATTACATTGATGATGCTTTTGCTTATAAAACCGACTATGATTATAAGTTGGGTAACATGATGGATTACTATGGCATAATACCGAGGCTGAAATTCTGAGTGGTGGTATCATGAAAATATCTAATAAATCTTTCAACAGGAGAAGGGATGCAGAAGCAATTGGTTTGGCTGTAAAGGCTTTGAAGAAGGAAGCCAGGACCTGGTTCAAAAAGAAAGGGAGTGACTCAGATGCTGGAGCTGATGACGTTTCTGCAAAAGCTTCGGCTTGGTATTATGTAACTTATCATCCTAGTTATTGGGGTCGCTACAATGAGGGAATGGATCGGGTTCATTTCCTTAGTTTTGCATGGATTGTTTATGACAAGTTGATCCAGACCAAGAAGGATAAATCAAGTCTCAGAAGGGCTCTCCATATGTCTTCGCTTGAACGGCAGTTCAATTATGGATTGAGTCTGAGCTGAGAACTTTAGCGTCAAGCCAGTTCAATATTTTCCTAATTTGAAGAATGTGAAGCTCTGTGATTTTATGGTTTTCCTTGACCACCTTAGCTTATGTATGTGTTTCTGTTCTATGTTTGCTTATTTGAGGGTGTATATTGTCTGAACTAATAGATGTAAATGAGGAGTGTGTATGTACAAAAATAATAAATGATGTTTTCCTAATCGTTTTTCTTTGATTCTGCAGCTTTGTATTGGATGTTAAGCCCTTATTTATCCTTTTGCAGTTATATATATTCTTGTTAGCAGAGGCATGAAGAAGTTAGCACATTACATGAGAAGTTTAATATGACACATATGTTACTCAAGGAACGTAGAGATTAGTGAGGGGTTTGCAATACATGTGCTCTAAAATCAGGTAAATTTTGGGTGCAGTCCCTTATAATTCTCATTGCCGGAACTTTCATGTGTAGAATGTGTGAGACTTGGGAAATGTAAATATGGAGATAGGTAAGTTGGACAAAGGGACACTAATACCTCGACTATCTTCTTCTTCCATATCCGACATTAATATTATTGGCAAGAGAGAATTAAAGTTAGGTCGTATCGTGTTCTCTTGAACCAACCAACTTTCAGGGGAATACGACTAGCTAGATGGTGGTCTGAGTTAGAACTCAAACTTGATGTGGAAAGCCATCAAAGGACACCATTACACCAAACAGTGCTTCTTTTCCTTTGTATTTGATGCCCAAATACCTTTCACCCATTAGTGCACTCCCCTTGCTTTGGGTGGAAAATTTGCATATTGATGAATCAGCCACGGCCTAAAGCCAAGTCTGGGTGGTTCCTATAAGCATGCAATTTGCAAAAGGGCATAATAGAATTCACAGATGCGAATCTCTATATTTTAATCATGTTCATTGTAGTTCTTCACATTTGTAATTGGTGTAATATTGATATAATAAAAAGGACATTTAAATAGAGTAATAGAAGTTATTTGATGATGCGGGTTAAAATTGAGTTTAAGTAGAGGTTATTTGATAATTTAGAGTTATTTGTATACAGTAATTCATTCAAATTGAGCCAAGCCATACCTAATCTACTTGAGCTGAGCGACACCATTGGATGAAGAAATTTTTTGAAAATAAATATAAAAATCTGATCAAAATATAATTTATATTATAGTCTTCGAAAATCTTAAATGAGTTTTAAAAAATTAGTTTGAATCCAAATAATTAGGTAGATTTTATCATCTTAGGATTAACAAAAAAAAAAGATTTTAGGACAAAACCATTTATAGGGTTGATAAACGAATCGAACTTGAACAATTTTTTAAACTTGTTTAAAAAACGAGTCTAAAAAGACTCAACTCGAGTTTAGCTCATTTTAGGCTCGACTCATTTTCTAAACGAATCAAATTTTAATAATTTTTTAGACTTATTTAAAAAAATAAACTTGATAAATTTAGGTTGAACTCATAAAATTTGGCTCAATTATCGCACTTGCCATTTATACCAAACTTCGTTTTCATGTAGCAACAGAGATTAGTATTTAGTCTTGCGGGTGGTTCCCATCATTCCTGGTACATAAAGCCAAGGAAACTTCCCTACTCCTTACCTTTTTCATTTGTCGTGGAATGATAATGTGATCAATAATGTGTTATAATGGGCCTCATTACCCCCGAGATTTTTAACCAATCACATATCATTCCTTCGAGACCAAGTTCTTGATCTCCAACCCCAAGACAATGGAGTTACATTCACTTCTAGTCCTTTTAAAACGACAATACAGTATAAATGTGAATGATTTTAAAAGAGATGTTGGTGATAGTTATATAAATCTATTTAATATTATTAAATAAATTTATTAAAGTCAACCCTATTTTAAATTCAAATCAATGCATCTCTTTTGTTTTGAATTAGCGTATAATTTTTCGAATAAAATGACAAGTTTGTATCATTTAATGAGATTTTGTATATGAGTTTTGATAATATAAAGGACAAAGTAAAGAGAAAATGTTCCACTATCGCACTTGAACCGAGGGGAGCTGGTGGACATGTTCATAGTCAAGGTATAGGGAGTAGTAGAAAGTGATTGCTATCCAATCCCCATTCATTGCTTGGAGAGGTTGCCCTTGCTTTATGATAAAACAATTTGAAAACACCAAATTTTTTCCTTTGTCAGAATGTCCTGTCGACTGAGACGTTAAATCCCACCGAAACATTAAATCAAAGAGTGCTCTAAGATATCAAAAAATAAGATTTAAGTATTATATCGAATTTTATTATATTTATAAATATTTTTATTATTATTGTGATAATGAAAAGAATTATTATAATAATGATAAAAATATTAACAACAGTTATATAAAAATATATGAAAATGATAAATTACCTATAAAAATAATAATTTTGTTATAAAAAGAAATGATAAAAATAATTATTCTACACTATACCACGCGTTGACTTGGACAAATATTTAAAGTATGAACTAATCAATCTTCAGAATCGTGCGATTGAAATTGGATAGCATAATTATTATTAAAGTTAGACTTGACTATGATATTGTTTAAAAAATTTTGATACTATACATTCAAAAATTATCACTTCAAATGATTTTTTATAATTTTTGTGAGTTATTTTATAATAAAAAAATATATTACTTTTGTTGTTAATTTATCACTTTTATGAATATTTTTATTATTGTTGTGGGTGTTTTTACTACATTTGTGATAACTATTTTTACAACTTTTGTTTGGTAAAAAAAAATTATTTTTGTGGGTAATTTATAATATTTGTGAATATTTTTATCACATTTATGAATAATCAACTCCATCAAAGTTCGTCTAGAGTTTATATTTTGAGTTTTTAAATAGTGATTTTGTCATATTTTGATTGTTACTAATCTAGATTACAACTCATTTTTTTAACTTCACTAATATGAGGGAAACAGATGCATTTTGTACTCTTCTTCTCATGAGTTATTCAGATACGTTATAATGTGAATGATTTTGAAATAAATGTTGGTGGTCATTAGATGAGTCTATTTGAGACCATCATATGAACTTATTGAAGTCTCCCTTATTTTATATTATACATTAATTTTTTTTTTCTTTTTATTAATCAGAAACGAGTATCTTTGTGCAAAGGCACATTTTGCTCGATAATTGATCATTTTAAGTAAACCAATGTAGGACAACAATGACCACAAGCCATTTGGTCTTGCAAGATCTATTAATGAATCAAACTTTAACATAACTCAGGACTCAAATTTAAATTTAATTAGTCAATTATGGATTAAATAGGAGTTTAGTCTTAACATGTTCGGATCATTATCAAGTTGATTAGTCATAAATACTTTATGAATGACTCAAAATGAACTATTGTACATGATACAAACCAATTGTATATGATATATAAATAACATGAACTTTTTTTATATACGATTATAAATGAGTCATGAATGCATTAAATCTATCTTAGAAATTACAGGATGTGATGAGATGTTCCACTGCAAACTACAGTTGGATGTATCCAATCTCCTAAAATACTTATGCCATGTGATGGCAACTGACACAAACACTGCACATGAATGCTAAGTTGAGTTCCATTTTTCCCAAAAAAAAAAAAAAAGAACTCATACAAAATCTCACTTATACACCCTCATTTCAAATATTGAATTCATTTGCATGTAATGCCATTGTCATAAGGCCCAAAGCATAGCTACTTACATTGAAACAAAATAATTGCAAACTTATCCTTAATTTCTTCAGTGCAATAAAGAACAAATAACACTTTAATTTATCCAATTTTCTCATAGTAAATTGAGAAAAAATATTCTTATTTTTATACAAAGATGGGGAGTGTTTTACTATTACTTTAAAATACCCTATCAAATTCTCATATGGCACTTGTGTGTGTTTGTCTCTCAAATTTTTCCAACAGCATTGGAGAAAGGTAATGAGTGTAATGAATTTAATAATACATGGAATAATTTATTTATTTTTTGAATACTTGCAAATCCTCTAATCAAGAATGGGTTTCAAAGGCAATGAAAATTCTTATTTGAAGTTCAAAAGAAAAAGATTAAAAATTATGAATATTATTCGAATCAAAGTCGTTCGTAATGGGAAAATAATAATTTCTCATCTTTTTTTTAGTTGATACAAATCCTTTTGGTGAAGGGAAAGAGATTAATAAATAAATCTACGACACAAAGCATATCCTATAATGAAGGTAATCTTCATAACTTACATTAATCAAACCCTAATTAAATTATGCGGCTATCAATAAAATCAAAATCCTCTGTGAAATGGGAAAAAAATGATTCCACGTCTCATTTAGGCTTGACATTATAGGCTTGAGTTTCAAATATACCCAAGTCTGTACAAGTTATATTGAGTTAAAATTAACTTAGGTCATACATAATTTATTATATAATTTTGATTGATTCATCTCATTATTGCTCGAATCCTTTAAATTAAACCTAAACCCAAAAACTCCATATTGATTTAGTAAAGAATTAGCAAACTTTATTAGTATTTATCAACTATGATTGCAAAGATTTATATAATATTATCCCAATCCTTTATATAAGGAATGATTAAAAAGAAGAAAGTAAAAGGTGCGAAAGACTTACAACAGGAGAATTTTGTTATAAACATGCCCTGGTCATGAAAACAATTGGCTCCAAGACAAAGAAGCTAAGAAAGGTCGTTGACTTATAGTTGACTTTTTGTCCATCACCCAATCAGATATCGAAACGTGGCAAACACACACACAGTACAAACACAATGAAAGGCTCATCTCATTGGATAAAAAATCAAGTCCAACGTAAGCTACATACCTCTGCAGATACAAAATTTCGTTAGTCCAATTACAAATAGTGTATACATGGAATCATTTGTTCCACTTTCTTTCGTTTTCCTTAAAGAAAGAGAGCTTGACTAGGAATTGACGATCTCTCTCTCCCTCTCTCTCTGCATATACATCCAAACAACACATACCCCATATGTCCTCTGCTTGTATATATTTACTTCCATTGTCTGGTTAGCTTTGTGGTCTCTTGTGTAGTAATAGTAGCGCTGTTGAGTTAGAGCCTCGAGGTTTCTGCAATATCAAGAAAGTCTTTCTTGGGTGAGTCTCTCTCTCTCTCTCTGTGTCATAAACACACACACAAACACACAGATGATTATAACATGTCGTGCATAATTTGGAGGATGTGAACTCATGTTTAGTTGATGATTTTGGAGTTTCTTTGGTTCGCTGCTTGTGGGTGTAAGTAAACCACTGCTTTGCCAGAGAAAAAGAGGAAGCTTGTACCATTGTACTGTGTATGAAAATGTTTGTGCAGAACCACTTGTTTGGTTACTGATAAAATTTGGAGGAAAGAAAAGTAAATCAGATTTGTTTTTTCAATCTTGTTCCATGATTGATTAAATAATTGTAACATGGTCAGTAACATCTTGTCTTCAATTTGTTTTTTCTTTGCCACATTGTCTATCCAATTTAGCAGAGTATTAATGTGTGTTAGCCGTTTGATTGGAAAAATCTACGAGTGCGAAAATAGAATTCATGCTACTATGTATAGATTTTGTGTTAATTAAGAGTCAACAGATGATATTAGTGTGGTCATCCTACCCTATATCACTGATCTAGATCAATTACTAATTGAGCATTTATGTTCTTATTCTTAGAGGCAAACTAAATGCTCCTATGTGTTGTTTAGTTTCTTGACTAGGAATATTATGAAAACCCAAAATAATGCAAATATCAGCTGTGATTATGACATCTGATTCCTGAATTATGATACTTTTGTCAACTGGACGAAAGGTACACATCTGTTGCAGTCTGTAAATGATATTTTCTTTTTTACTTTATCTTTGTTTCCTTTTCTCGGTGTTTCGTTGTTTTTTCGCAAATTGTGGCAATTCAAATTTTGATCTGTTTCTGTTTTTTGAGTTTACTTTGGCATGCTAACCTTATATTGTAAGATAACCCCAAAAAAAGAAGGATAGAAGAAGGGCCTTTGTTAGGGCAATGATTGAAGATAAGCTTCCCCCTCCCCTACTACACAAAAAATAAGAAAGAAAGAAGATAAGCTTGTCAACAAGAACGGATACAAAGAATGTTAAAAAGAAGAAGTTGGGAACTTTATGTGAATCTCTACCTAGACTTTTCTGCGAACATGTTTTGGATTAAATTATGTTTTTGAGTGTAAAAAAATTTAAGGCAAATAAGTTGGTGTAATTCAGGTTTCTAATGGTATTTGCGTCTTATTTCATACCATGTTCAGTTTTGTTTATTGGCTTGCTTATATAGTTTGGTTCATGTAATGTGTTTAAAAGTTAATGCCCATGTCATGAAGTCCAACTTGGACAAAGTCCAACTCTTCTTGTCTAGCCTAGACCCAGAGACAAAGGCTGTACTTCATCACCGTGTTTAATTGGCTACTGTTCACTTGATTTTGTGTAATGTGTTATTTTGTCGTACCTTTGCTAGGGTAAGTGTAATTCGTCTTCTATTTCCTTTTCATCTCTCCTCCTATCCCGTTAGTTGTAATCCTTCCCAACCTCCACTAGATATGATCAGCATACTAATTAATGGGTGGTTGACTTTGTCTACTTGAAATATAAAGACATAGAAAAGAAAGAAGAAGAAAAATCTAGGATTCCAACTAGAGTTCTTGAGCACTAACGCAAACAGCAAGGTTACTCTGTTTAGGTTAATGGACTGTTATCGAATATTGCATCAAATACAATACTTGTTAAGTACTTGATAATACTTGTAGGATATACACCATATGTGTTCTATTTCAAACTGAATCATGGCTTGGTTCAGAGTCTGATAAGTATCTCTTAGTTTAAGTAGTTTGTTCCTTTGGAATGGTAGCATGATCTTTAGATTTCAGTCAAAGAAGGGATATATTAGACTCCATGTTGTTTATGAGTTCATGATCAGGCTGAGAGATAATAGACATATAGCCTGAATACTAGAATTATCAACATTAGAATTGTTAGCAGCCAGAGATGAGTCAATGGCATATTACTTGAAGAGAAGAATCAACTTTAAAATGAGAATCATGAGAAGTAGTACTACAGTGTTGATAAGTTTTTTTTTAGCAGAAAAAAGATTCTGTTCTGTCTAATTGTCCGCAGTATTGTTTGGAAGATTAGATATGTATTATCAAAAAATAATTTGATAGTGTTGTCCATTGGCCCATAGACTTGACGTGGGGGAGCTTTTTTTCCTTGACCTTGTGCAAATTTTTCCCTAGAGGCATTAGAGTTAGGAGGTGATGGCTGCTGGTTGAACTTCTCTTTGCTAGCTGCATTAGTTGCACTAGAGTTTTTTGAATGAAGTTTGCAGTTTGACTTTGGATGACCTTGTTTGGAACAAGATGTACAAGACCTTAAGTCCTTCTCATAAACGATATTCTACCATCTTTCTTCGTTTTGTCCCATGCCTAACCAAACCCATAACAATATGTGTAGTTTTAAATTTAATCTTGTACCTTTACTTCTTTAATTCACAAAAAATGATCCTTAATCATCTCTTGGCAACAAATACTTCCCAGCGAACCATCTAGTGAAATGTTAGTTCTGGTTTCTTGAATTAGTCACGTTCTGTATGCTATTTTTTAGGTTTCTACGTATTGCTATGTTTGTCTCGTATACTTGTTTCCCATATTGATATCATTACTTTCTAGGTAATAATTAATATTAGGTTGCGTTAATCATCGCACCAAGTTCTAGAAGTTTTGCATAAACGAACTATTATTGAATTGGGAGATCAAAATATGATTTTAGGCTGCTGAGATTCTCTTAATTCCATTAGGACTAAGACTAAGCAATGGAAAACTGATTGCTATTTGACTGTAAGACTATTCTGAGACATCTAAGATCACACAAGATGACCTAATAGAATAACTTGGCTCAGAACTCAACATCTGATGGCCAACAAGTATTTATATTACCTAAAGCGCCTTTAACCTTTGAATTATGATGAAATGGAAGCAAACTGTTCCAGACTTTCTTATGCTGAAAATGCCTACGGAATCAAATTTGATTCAAAGCAAAACTTGATAACATTTAAAACTTCCAATTTCTTTCCTGTCCACATGTTGTGCATGGGTTAGGGGGGCTGTTAAGTTCAACAATGAAGTACGTTGGTTCAAGTCTAAGAGTAGTTACTTTGGGTAAACTTACCAAAAGTTAGCTCTGTATATAGTCTACTCTTCCCAGCTGCTTAAGTGGGACCACACTGGTTAGGGACTTTTATGCTATGCATAGTATTATTCGTATGAAAGATGCAATTTTTCACATTCATTGCGTAGAATGACTGGGAAGACAATACAAAGGGGTTGGGGGTAGAGGAGGGGAGCTGAAGAACAAGTTGAAGCTTCTTATAGTGACCAAAGAGAAATGGCAAAAGAAAAAAAGGACCAAATATGCATGAAATGTTGCTTTTGTTTTGATTAAGTTGCGTTCCAGCATCCTATTTATACAAAATTGTATCAGGTGATCTCTTTCTCGTTCTCTCTGATAGATGAGCAGTGATCTCTTTCTCACTCTCTCTGGTAAATGATCAGGTGACAAGTGTCATTGTTATCTGATGGTTTGTATCTGTTTCAGTTTTATGATTCTAATTTGTAATTATTCCTTTTGATTTTTGCATTTGTGTTAACCAACACAATGTTGTGCAGTTGCCACAACTAATGTAGTTCCGTATGATGAAACTGCAGTTAAAATTACTTAAGCTGGATGGGTAAGACGATTCAGGTGTATGGATTTCCCACTCATGTGTCTGCAACAGTGGTTCAGAAATTTCTAGAGGTTTATACAGGAAAAGGAACTGTGTATGCTTTAGAGGTTAAGGTTTCCAAAGGAGGGTTTAGAGCATATGCTAAAGTACAGTTTACCAATAAGAAAAGTGCTGAGGATATCATCTCATTGGCAAATCAGCAGCTCTGGTATGGGTCTTCTTATTTAAAAGCTAGGGAAATGGACTCTGACATGATACCAAAGCCTCGGACCTATGTGCATTGCATGGAACAAGTAAGCCTACATTTTGGGTGTCAGACATCAAGGGAGAATTTTTCAGTTCTCTGGAAAAGAACAAATGTATCTGTAAAATTTGGGATTGGATTGAAAAAAATGTACTTCTTCCTATCCCATGTTTATGTTGGTTACAAGCTTGTGCTGTCCTACGAAAACATCTGGCAAGTTGAGCTACATTGTCCACGCGGTCAAACTGCAAAGTTTCTTCTCATTCAGGTCTGTTCCATTAATTTTCATTCATACGACCATATTTGGCATGTCAGTATTTTCTTTTCATTGTACTTTTATATGTTGAACAAGTGGATTTCTTCACTCTTTGTTCTTAATTTGCATGGATTTCTTAACTTGCACCTCTAGTTTATGTGATGGCTTCTGTAGATGTGAAATTATTAGTGATTAGCTAATCTTCCCTCAAACTAATATGCATAGTACAGTTGTTCTGAACTGATTAACTTAGTTTAGAATTTTACCATTATATTGATCTACAGACTCATTGATTTATGTGTCGTGGTACCCTACTACTGGAAAAAAACGTTTCTTTGTGAATGCCTTCAATTATGGTGGGACCGGTACAAATGAGTAGTATTCGTTCATCCAGGATTATGAAACCATCCCCAGTGAAGTGATGTAATAATAGAGGTGCTTGGGAATAGAGAGGGAGGACTCTTGAGAACACCGTGTGAGGTTGGGCACATAGCTGAAAGGATCCTTTGCTTAGAATGAGGCACAATGAGCCCAGTAGGGTGATTTTATATATCTGAGGGCTTTTAGTAGATAGGCTAGGTTACAATTTACATGCTTCTTGTGGAAATTGGTGACTGCAAGGTTTATATGGGCTTGGTAACCTTAGCTGAAATATCCTGCTGACGGTATAGTTTGAACAATACATTAGGAGGCAACAACTTTCCCAAGGTTCAGAAAGCCTTTTATTTGTTTGGATTAGGTGAATGGATTCTTCTGACAGGGGTCTAAACTTGTTTAAATGGCCATGCCCTAGAACCACTATAGCTACCCAGGGCTTGTGTGATCTTCCTGTTGCCACTGACCAGGGCTAAGCTCATTGAGGGCACCATAGTCCGTCCTAATAGTCATATGTCAACTATTAAGAGGATTACCCTTGCATGAAACGCTTCTAGTTGTTTCCCTTGAATCTATAACGAAGAAATGTGGTGACCTGGGTGTGACTCAGGTTGGACACCTCGTTGGCACCGGTAGTGTTTCTTGTGATATGTTTCTAGCTGGGGTGAATCTAGCTTTTCGATAATACTTCTTAGTGCAACAAGTGAGGAGGTTGCTAGAAGTTCATGATGTCCATCCAGTTCCTAAAATTTTCTATGTTAGTTAGATCATCTAAGCATCAGACACATGATTGCTTCGTTTGAATAAATAGCCTGCTCAGTAATGATGCCTCATTTAATTAGCTGAACATTAGACAATTTTGAAACACCATATTTTTCAACATCTGCAAAACTTCTGTCATCTAACTGCAAGGATGGAAATTTTGTTTCGTTTCCACCAAAAATGATTGAAGCATTTCAGTTTCCATGGAAACTAAAATAATAAGGATTGAATATCGAAACTTCTTCTTTCGAGGTGTCTCAGGATGTTTTTGGTATGTTTTGCAAACAAATTCTTAATTTTTTTTAAGTTCACATTTTGTTTCCAAAATATCTTGAAACATTTCCTTTACCTAGCTGTCCGAAACTTTGTATTGAAACGGAATTTTTGTCCTTGTCTAACTGTAAAATATGCTTCTGCCATCATTTACGATGGAGAAAAAAGATTTCACTTTTTGCAATTACGTTCTACTTGATTTAATGACATAGTAAGTGTCAAAACAACCTTATAATTGTGTTTTATCTGAGCCATAGTTTCTTGGCTTTGGGCATTGTTCAAACGCCAATGGAACTTCCTAATCCTATTCCTAACTATTGGGCTGAAGCTGGTTATCAATTTTAATTTGAGGACTCTTTGGACTTTCATCAAGCATTAGATTAGTGTCCCATATTCAGTATCTTCATTGCTTCATTTTGAAGATGATCATTCAGCTACGTTTTTGTCATTTTGTTATTTGGTGCATGTTACCTCCCTTTACATGTCTTATTATGTGTTTTTGCTTATACATGGTATGTAGAGTTGGTAATTAACACATCTATGCATATTCTTTCTTTTGATCTAGTTATATGGTGCTCCTCGGATCTATGAGCAAGTTGAAGATTCCCTTCATAGCTATTTCAAGGAAACCCCTGATGATCAATGGGTCAGGACAACCGATTTCACTCAATCATTCTGTATCGGGCAGTCTTCTGGTTTATGTCTGGAGATTCCTCATGGAATTCAGCTTCCAAATTTCCATGAAAACTTTCCTTACTATAAAGAAAGTGCAAGCCAATTTACATTGGTGAACGGGCAGACCTTTTCTGACAGTTTGGATCTAGTCCCCATTGTGGGTCCTCCATGTGGACTTGAGTTGCCATACAAAATATTATTCAAGATTTGTTCCTTGGTTCAACATGGGTTTCTTCCAGGACCAGCACTTGATATCAATTTTTTCCGTTTGGTCGATCCACGAAGAATGGATATTGGATGTATTGAACATGCCCTTGAAAAACTGTTTCATTTGAAGGAGTGCTGCTATGACCCTGTTAGGTGGATTAATCAAGAATACCAAAAATACCGCACTTTTCGGAAACTTCGTAAAACGCCTGATGCTTTAGATGATGGGTTGGTATATGTACGGAGGGTTCAAATAACCCCATGCAAAGTGTATTTCTGTGGTCCGGAGGTTAATGTGTCTAATCGCGTATTACGCAATTATTCTGCATATATTGATAATTTCCTTCGTGTTTCTTTTATCGATGAGGAGTGGGATAAAATGTATTCCATGGACTTATCTCCCCGTACAGGTTCTGGAAACGAGGACAAAAGAACTGCTGTTTATAAGAGGATACTGTCAATTCTTAGAAAGGGCATAGTTATTGGTAGTCAGAAATTTGAGTTTCTTGCCTTTTCATCAAGTCAGCTACGGGATAATTCTGCTTGGATGTTTGCTTCAAGACCTGGGCTTACTGCAGATGATATTAGAACGTGGATGGGTGATTTTCGTCAAATCAGAAACGTGGCGAAATATGCTGCCAGACTTGGTCAGTCCTTTGGTTCCTCCACAGAAACTTTGAACGTTGCTAGGGATGAAATTGAAATTATTCCTGATGTTGAGGTTGTAAGAGGTGGAGTCAGATACGTTTTCTCTGATGGAATTGGCAAAATATCTGCCGACTTTGCTTGCAGAGTTGCTATAAAATGTGGTCTTAAAAGTTCTACTCCATCTGCCTTTCAGATCCGGTATGGTGGATACAAAGGTGTTGTGGCTGTTGATCCCACTTCATCAATGAAGTTGTCACTGCGAAAGAGCATGTCCAAGTATGAATCAGAGAACACAAAATTAGATGTTCTGGCATGGAGCAAGTATCAACCGTGTTTTTTGAATCGTCAAATAATCACTCTTTTGTCTACTCTTGGGGTCAAAGATCACATCTTTGAAAAGATGCAAAGAGAAGCAGTGAATCAACTAAATACCATATTAACAGATACTCTAAGGGCACAGGAGGCGCTAGATTTGATGTCTCCAGGAGAGAACACTAAAATTCTCAAGGAAATGCTTCTGTGTGGTTATAAGCCTGATGCGGAACCATTCCTCTCAATGATGCTGCAAACGTTCCGGGCATCAAAATTGCTAGACTTGCGGACTAGAACAAGAATATTTGTTCCTCGTGCAAGGTCAATGATGGGATGTCTAGATGAAACCGGAATCTTAGAGTATGGGCAGGTATTTGTGCAACTTTCCGGCACTGGACATAGGCTGTTTGATGATGATTCCCTTAAGTACAATGGCAGTCTCTTGGATCAGTGTAATTTCATAGTTGAGGGCAAGGTAACTGTTGCAAAGAACCCGTGCTTGCATCCTGGGGATGTGCGCGTTTTAAGGGCTGTTGATGTGCCAGCTTTGCACCATATGGTGGATTGCGTAGTTTTTCCACAGAAAGGAAAGAGGTAAAACATGATTGTGAAAACTTTTGACCTATAAAGTCCATATTTAATTTTTCTTTAATTTTAGTGCGGTGTGATAGGGCTAGAGTGAATTATAGCTTACACATATTCACATAAAAGTTACAGTTAAGTTAATAAATTCCACTTGATATATATTTTCTCTTCGAAAATATGGGAGTTCATATTATTGGAATTAGTGATGTCTAGTTGGAAGTGCTTACTTGGGCTTTGTTCTTCTTTAACATGCATTATTGATGGATTTTTGAAGCTAATAATGATAGTAATAATGAGTTGTTCCAATTGGTTACACATAACCATCTTTTTGGATTTAGTCACAATGGCAGCTTTATGCACTACTGTGCACACTACGTATGTAGTATATATGAGTGTTTGAATGCCCTTAGATCTATCAATTTAATATTTATTAGTATTTGTTCGGTTATCCTGGGATATTTAATTATGTTTTGGATAAATCTTGTAACCTCACGATGTTTCTGAAAAATGCAGTGTTTTTTATGACTGAACTGGCTCCTGCTTTTATGGCTAATTTACATAGTTATTGACCAACATCTTTCTGTTAGCACTCTCACTTACCCTTGGCAAATTTTATTTGCAGACCTCATCCAAATGAATGCTCTGGAAGCGATTTGGATGGTGACATTTACTTTGTCTGTTGGGACTCTGATCTGATTCCACCCAGGCAAGTCCAACCTATGGATTATACCCCAGCACCACCTATGATGTTGGATCATGAAGTGACAATTGAGGTATTATTCACATGGTTAGATGTTGTAGTAGTTTGGGAACTCCTCCTGTTGTTCCTATAATGAATTATCCTTCCGTTGGGTTAACATTTCTTATATCCACCTATGCATGTTTCCCATTTGATCTATCTTTGGCTATTGCCATTGACTGGTCCCCGACAAATTGAGGCTGCTAGAGTGGGTGGACTGGGAATAGACCCTATTCTTGTATTTTTCGCTCAAAATGGCTGCCCTTATTTTGAACCCACGACATTGGCAGTATTGATTGGAGAGCCAGTTTACCATTGCACTAGGCAATGATTTATTCTCTGCTTTTAGTGTTATTTTTTTTTGAAATTCACATATTTACATTTTTGTGGCCTTCTAATTGTTTTTCTCCATGAAGCACACGTCCACAATTGCTCTTGACAAATGATTTGTTTTCTCTTATCCAGCATTTCTTTCATTACTGTTAATTCCTTTTGAGAAGAAATTATTAGTACCTTATCTGCCCTTTCATTATATCAAAGAGATTTGTTCAGCCCTAGTCGATATGTTGTGAATATTTATATCTACTAGTGCCTGCTTGTGAATAATATAAAAATATTCTTGTATTTCAGTGTGCGCACATGCATGTTAATGTGCTTTGAGACCTGTTCTCCAGACGAAATTTTCTTAAATACCCTTGAAAGTTTTCATTGTGATTGAAAATGGAACAATTCTTTGTATCCTGCATTCACCTGTTTAATACTTTGATGTCTTAAATTGTCCAACACTGCTTACGAAATACGAATGGAACCACCTGAGCGCATATCTGATTGTTAGGCTCCTGTTTAGGACCTCAAACTCATCGTAGCTTTGGGGCTCTTTGATATCATCTCCAAAACTCCAAAATCCTCTAACTTATATTGCTACATATGAGGCTTTCAAATCACTGTTGGACGCCTAAGTTGACATTAAAACTGAAAATGCAGCAGGCTAACTTTATGAAACAACTCTAAAACTCCAAAAACAAACATATGGTGCTATATATGTTTTTGTTTCCAGAACATCATATCAAGGACCCAATCAAGCACATTGCTATATGGGACACGACCTTTTTTGCCCCCACATGGGACCCACCTAATCACGTCTCCCTATGGGGGGCCAGGGAAATAGGTCCAGTTCTGGTACCACCCGCAATGACTCAAGTCAATTGCATGTGATATTATCTGCTTTTGGGTTGCTAATAACTTAATGTGTTCCCAATCTGAAATCTGCAGCCAAGCACATCCAATCATTTTTTTTTGGTCTGACATCCAATCATTTTTATTCTCTCTGATTTCTAATGGAGAAAGGAAGGGGGAGAGAGAGATCCAGGTTTGGTCCCATGGGTGGGTCAGCCACCAGTTCGGAGCTCTGATCTGGGTTTGAGTTTGATTGACTGTGGGCTTAGGAGCTCTATTGAATTTGAGTTGTGTGTTTTTGCAGTGTTTGTGTGCTGAACCAAGCCACCAGTGTGTTCTTTTGTGTTAGCAGTGTGCTCGTGTGTGTATACGCGTTTGAAAGTGAATGTAGGCATTCATGTTTGATAGGGAGATGGGGAACCGGGGTGGTTTTAAATTTTTTTTAGGCAACTTTTTTGGTTTTAATTTTTAATTTTTTTTTAGTTTTTTTTTCTTTTTAATTTTTTTTTGGTGTCTTAAAGGGTAAATGAGCATATTTAGGAAAATGGGATGTTTTCGGCAGATTTTGTGAGGGTATCCCATGAAATAGAAATCTGAACTAGGAGTGCAAAGTAATTTCAAAAACTTTGAGTGCATCTCCTACAGTTTTAGCAAAACTTAAGTGTTATTCCACCTTAAATTTAATCGACTAAGTTATGGTTTAGTTTTGTTGTTCCAGTAAAATTCAGAGTGGCAGTGATGAACAGGGTCGCCACAGGAGTTTGTTCAATCGTATTTGAGATAATTCTTTTTTATTGATCTTGTACCTTTCCGTAGTACAGCCTCATTAGGTTGCAGCATAAGTTTCATTTGAAATTACCTTAGTTCATTCAAAGCAATCAGGCATTTTCTTCTTATTTTGTTGTGTGGATAATTTTAGAAATACATTTTATTTTTTCTGAAATCATATATAAGCCACGCATATCAACAATTTTGTTGAAAATATTTTTTGCGGCCTTAAATAAATGGTTCAGAATTGTAGAAGTCTTGTTGTTGACTCATTGAGTTTTCTTACTAAATTAGGGAAGCACTTGAGTACTCAATGATGCTGCCTAAGGCTGTTTATTTTGCTGTTGTAGGTTATGGAAAACCATAGTTTTGATTTCTTTATTTTCAGTTGAAAGAGATGCTATATCATCTTGATGGATGAGTATTTAATTAGCTTGCATTCAAGGTTACAAATGGACAAATTTTGAAGTATTGCTGGAGTTTTGAGGCAGCAACTTGTACTGAAGATGGTAGGGGAAAAGTTAGCGATGTCTAGGGGCTTTTGTGTCGAATATGAGACCAAAAAAAGGTTTTCGTTTGAACAAAACAAAAAATTCTGTCGTGGATAAAATTGAAGCAAAAAGAGGTGGACAAGGAGGTCTGAGATTTCTTAGGCATAGAACCTTGCATTTGGGTATGAGTTGATCTCAGCTTAGTTGAGAATAATGCATTGCTGTTGGATATCCCCTGTTCCCTGTCAAGAATTGACTCCAGTAAAAAGGAAAAATTAATCTTGACATCTACAGCCAAGCTCTTACCTGGTTTGTTCTTTAACTATGTTTTGCTTTGGTGTAAGTTGCAGATAAATCAGCTCGTTTACCGCAGCATACTCTAGAAGCCATGAAGTTTTTCTGGAATACCTATCTGTCATTACCACAACAACAGAAACTACTACAAGCAGTTTCTACCACCAAAAAGTGAATACACATATTCCCGTGTCTACAACTACTACTACTAAACTAGCTAACCTAAGATCCAAAGGGAACTTTGAAAAAACAAAAGAAATCAAGTAGAACGACCTGTTTTTATAGGACAATGAGTAAAATATCCTTGAAATTTAACTGCTTAAAATTCTTCTTTGTATTCGTCGTTTTAGCATATTGTGCCACGGTGTCACTTTTAGATAAAATATCTTGGTTTGCTCTCCCAAAGATGGTAATTTACATTACTACTGCTTCCATCATCACCACTGCTGCTGCTCTGCTACCATATTGCTTGCTTTCTCTGCCCATGTCGCAATTTGTTATTCGCTATGCATTTTGCTTTATAGTGGGTAATAAGCAGAACTGCATCTGAAAGAAAGAATGAACATGACATTTACCCTGGCTAGGAAATTATCTGACTTTGCAGCAGTAGCTTGAGGTGAAGTACCTGCAGCACACCTTGCTTATGAAAATCCAAAATAATTGCTAGGGCACTCGGTCATACTCCTTGGTTAATTTAGTTTGTCTGTTTTGGACAATGCATCAGATTTTTATGTTTACTGCAGGAAGTCGAGGAGTATTTTACCAACTACATAGTCAATGACAGTTTAGGAATTATTTCAAATGCCCATACAGTCCTTGCTGATAGGGAACCTTCCAAGGCAATGAGCGATCCTTGTCTAGAGCTTGCGAGGCTGTTTTCAATTGCAGTTGACTTCCCAAAAACTGGAGTTCCAGCTGAGATACCCCCTCATCTGCGTGTCAAAGAGTATCCAGATTTCATGGAAAAGCCTGACAAAACCACCTACATATCAGAATGCGTGATTGGAAAGCTTTTTCGAGAGGTAAAAGACATTGCAACAGACACAAGCTCTATTAGAACCTTCACAAGGGAAGTGGCGAGACGGTCATATGATCCTGACATGGAAGTAGATGGTTTTGAGGATTACATTGATGATGCTTTTGAATGTAAAACTGAGTATGATTACAAATTGGGAAACATGATGGATTACTATGGCATAAAAACCGAATCTGAAATACTGAGCGGGGGAATTATGAAAATGTCAAAATCTTTCGACCGGAGAAGGGATGCAGAAGCAATTGGTTTGGCTGTAAGGTCCTTAAGGAAGGAAGCCAGGACCTGGTTCAAGCAGAAAGGGAGTGATTCGGATGCTGGAGCTGATGACGTTTATGCAAAAGCATCGGCTTGGTATTATGTAACATATCATCCTAGGTATTGGGGTTGCTACAATGAGGGAATGGGTCGGGATCATTTCCTTAGTTTTCCGTGGTGTGTTTACGACAAGCTGATCCAGATCAAAAAGGATAAATCTAGTCTCAGAAGGGCTCTCCATATGTCGTCACTTGAACGGCAGTTCGATTATGGATTGAGTCTGAGTTGAGAACTTTGGCATCAAGCCAATTCAATATTTTCCTAATTTGAAGCATGTGAAGCTGTGTGATTTTATGGTTTTTCTAGGCTACCTTAGCAGCTTATGTGTGTATTTGTGTTGTGTGTTTGCTTATTTGAGGGTGTATATTGTCTGAACTAATAGGTGTAAATGGGCAGTGTGTATGTACAAAAATAATAAATGATGCTTTCCTAATCGTTTTTCTTCAATTCTGCAGCTTTGTGTTGGGTGCCAAACCCTTATAATATATTCTTGTTAGCAGAGGCATGACGAAGTTTAACACATTACATGAGTTTACTATGTGACATATGTTACTGAAGGAACATAGAGGTTACTGAGGGGTTTGCAATACATGTGCTCTAAAAGCAGGTAAATTTTGCGTGCAGTCCTTATAATTCTCATTGTCGGAAGTGTCATGTGTAGAATGAGTGAGACTTGGGTCAATATCTAGAACTCTGAATATGGAGATAGGCAAGTTGGACAAAGGGAACACTAATACCTTTCCTGTATTGCTCTTCTATGTAAGGCATTAATACTATAGCCAAGACAGAATTGAAGTATTTTTCACACTTTAACGTTTGGGGCATTAGTTTAACCAAATTGACGAATTTGTTGGACCAAAACAGTTTTTTCGGTGTAAAAACTAAATTCTTGGTCGACTTTGTGCCTAAATTAAAGTGGGACCTGTTCGTTGTTTTGAGTAAACTTTCGTAAGTTCATGTTTTACTCCGTGAGGAAAATAACGTAATATATTAATTTACTCAAATCGAGTACGAAATGAATAAGAAATAAGCTCTAAAGTAACTCTATTGAAAGATGGAAATAAAGGTTGTGCAATGTGGGATTTGATACTAATCCCACATTGGTTGAAGAAGAAATTCTGCATGGGCATATATAGGCCAAGTTTGCTCTATGAGATTGGGCCTTAAGGGATACCACAATTTTATGAGCAGAGTATTCGACTACACACGCGTGCGCGCCCCACGCCACGACCTGACTTAGCCCGGCCAGCTACGGGTGTGGTTTAGGTCAAGTCTTATCTTTTTGGAGAAAATTCGTTTAATTAAATGTGCGTGAATTTCTTAACCAAAAATTTAATTTCAGTATCCATTGGATTGCACTAGTTTGAAATTATTTAATTTCGATAAGACTGCTGTAACTGTTTCGTTAATTCTTCTGTAACTGTTTCTATATTTTGTGTAACTGCTTCGCTTTAACTCGTTACTGTTTTGTTATACATTACATGTTTCAAATCAGAAATTTCAATAAGTAATTTTACTATATTTAGAATACCACATATAACAATTTTAAGACAGATTCCAGATTTGTATAATTACTTACTGTGTTTCTGATATATATGTTAAACTGTTCTAAAATATTGCAAATTGTTAAAACCTGTTTTTTTACAATTTGTGATATTTTGAAGAGACTTGAAAATTTTGTGAAAAAATTACATATTTTATTTATGTGTTTAATTTAAACAGTTACACCAAACAGTGACACCATACAGAAATGTTAAAAGATTAACTTCAAAACAGTGACACTAACAGTAACATAGATTGTCTTTGTTTTAATAACTTGTGCTGAAAAGTGTTACTATTTTCCTATTTTTGAATATTTTGTAATCTTCGTTTATCAGAAATGGCTGCAAATGATAATAATGTTCCTGCTACTACAAATCATGTAGTGAGATAAAACAAATAATTGTACCTACTCATGTGTCTCATGGGGAGAAATTCGAAAAGTTCAATGGGAACGATTTTAAGAGATGACAACAGAAAATATTGTTCTATATCACTACGTTGAATTTTGCAAAGTTTCTTTGTGAGGATGCTCCTGTTTGTAGTGAGAATGAGACCGACCGCCAAAATGTTGCTGCGGTAGATGCATGAAAACATTCTGATTTTCTGTGCAAAAACTATATCCTCAATGAATTGCATAACACATTATATAATGTGTATAGTCCAATCAAGATAGCTAAAGAGTTATAGGAATCCTTGGATAGAAAATACAAGATGAAGGATGCCGGAATAAATAAATTCGTTGTGTACAAATTCCTTGACTACAAAATGGTGGATTCCAAGCCTATCATAAGTCAAGTTCAAGATCTTCAAGTAATCTTACATAAGATTCATGCCGAAGGGATGATGCTTAGTGAATATTTCTAAATGGCTACAATTATTGAGAAATTACTGCCAAATTGGAAGAACTTCAAAAATTATTTGAAGCACAAGCGTAAAGAAATAAAAATTGAAGACTTGATTATGAGATTGAGGATTAAGGAGGACAATAGAGTCTCCAAAAAGAAAGTTGACAATCATTCAATGGAATCAAAGGCACATGTGATTGAAGAGGGACATAAAACTAATAAGAAAATAAAGTATGTTGGCCAACAAGGGGCCAAGGGTAGTAATTCCAAAAGATTCAAAGGTTACTGTTTTGTGTGTAATAAATCGGGGCATCGTGCAAACAATGGTCGAAGCCGTAAAACACAAGAGAACCACAAGAGGAAGACTGCCCAAGCCAATATAACCAAAGTAGAAAAACTTTTTGAAAATATTTATAACATAAGTTTTTCTGCTGTAGTATCCAAAATAAACTTGGAGGAAAATACCAAAGAATGATGGATGAACACCGGAGCCACTAGACATATTTGTTCAGATAAGAAGATGTTCTCCTCATATGAAACAATTAATGATGAAGAATAACTATTCATGAGAAATTTCTTTACTTCCAAAGTTGAAGGCAAAAGAAATGTTATATTGAAGATGACTTTCAGAAAATAACTTACTCTCAATGATGTGTTACATATTCCAAAAATTTGAAAGAATCTTGTGTGTAGATTGTTGTTGAGTAAGAAGGGTTTTAAGTTGGTTTTTGAGTCCGACAAATTTGTACTCAGCAAGAGTGGGATTTATGTAGGCAAGAGATATATGAGCGATGAACTCTTTAAGATAAATGTAATGACAATTGTATTTGATTTTGATAATAATAACACATCTTTTGCTTATATGCTTAAGTCTTCCATTATATAGCATGGTAGATTATGATATGTTAATTTTGATATTTTGCGTACATTAATGAATTTATAATTGTTGCCTAAATTTAATATTTATGTAAATCATAAATGTGAGGCATGTGTTGAATCAAAATTAACTAGAGCATCATTTCATAATTTTGAGAGAAGTACTAAACTTCTAGAGTTAATTCATACTAATACATGTAATTTGAAATATGTTCAAACTAAAGGTGAAAAGAAGTATTTTGTTATTTTTATTGACGATTGTACAAGATATTGCTATGTATATTTGCTAAGGAGTAAAGATGAAGCATTGAAAAAATTTATGCATTATAAGAATGAAGTTGATAATCAACTTGGCAAAAAGATTAAGGTAATAAGAAGTGATCGAGGTGGTGAATATGACGCACCTTTCAATTGGTTCTATCAAGAACATGATATTATTCACCAAACTTTTGTGCTTTATACACTTCAGAAAAATGAGATTGCTGAACGTAAAAATAAAATATTGAAAAAAATGATGAATGCCATGTTGATTAGTTCAGGATTACCTTAGAACTTGGGGGGGGGGGGGGGAAGCTTTGCTTTCAGCAAATTATATTTTAAATAAATTATCCCACAAAAAGTTAGATAAAACCCCTTATGAATTATGGAAAGGTCAGAGTCCTTCCTACGAATATTTAAAAGTGTGGGGTGTTTGACTAAGGTGATGGTTCCTATTCCCAAAAGGATTAAAATATGACCTAAGACTATTGATTATATATTTATTGGTTATGCAATAAATAGAAATGCATATCATTTTCTCGTGTATAAATCTGATATTCCTGATATCCATATTAATACAATCATTGAGTTAAGAAATGCATCATTCTTTGAAAATGTCTTTCCTAATAAAAATGCATGTGATGAAAGTTCTCTTAAAAGAACTAATGATACTGCGACTAGTAATATAGACCATGAGTCTATAGATAGAAAAAGTGAAGAGGCACTTAGATGCAGTAAGAGGGCAAGGATTTCGAAGTTTTATGGTCCAAATATTCTAACATATTTGTTATAAAATGAGTCTCAAAGTTTCAATGAAGTGATGTCCACTCCTGAGGCACCTATGTAAAAAGAAGTTATAAATAGTGAAATTGAATCCATCATGTAAAATCACACCTGAGAGTTGGTAGATCTTCCTCCAAGGAGTAAACCATTGGGGTGTAAATGGATTTTCAAGAGAAAAATAAAAACTGATGGATCAATTGATAAGTACAAGGCTAGACTTGTAGCTAAAGGTTACAAACAAAAGAAAGGTCTTGATTACTTTGATATATATTCTCTTGTCACGAGAATAACATTTATTCGTATGCTCATAACTATTACATCATTGCATAATCTTAAGATACACTAAATGAATGTGAAAACAACTTTCTTAAATGGTGACTTAATGAGGAAATTTATATGGACCAACCTGAAAGGTTCATTTCTTTGGGACAAGAGAAGAATGTGTATAGACTTGTTAAATCACTTTATGGTTTAAAGGAAGCACTAAAACAATGACATGCGAAATTTGACAAGATAATAATTCAAATGGTTTCACAATTAATGAATGTGATAAATGTGTCTATATCAAAGACACAAATAATAGATATGTCATTGTTTGCCTATATGTGGATGATATGCTTATTTTAGATAATAATAATAATATTATTACAACTACCAAGAAAATGTTATCCAGTAAATTTGACATGAAGGATTTAGGTCTTGCAGATGATATACTAGGAATTAAAATTTCTAGAACATCTGGTGGACTTATATTATCTCAATCACATTATATTTAGAAAATACTTGAGAAGTTCGACAAAGATGAAAACAGCATTGCTAGAACACTAGTTGATATAAATCTTCATTTGTTTAAAAATATTGGCTAATGCATATCACAATTGGAATACTCTCGTATCATTGGCAGTCTAATGTATGTCATGAACTG